GCCTGAATGTTCAGTATGGAAGGAAATAAAAACTTGAAAAATATTTAGGAATCAGTAACGCCACTTCAGTTTATTTATCATATTTGGAATCTCGCTTACTCTATATGCACGACACTTTGAAGATATATGGAGCACAGACGATGTTTGAAAAGCAATGTAATTCGCGACGTTCTACATTTCTATACAGAAAAACTTTATCAGGGCATATAAAAAAACTTATCAAGGAGTAGTATCTAATTGAAATAACACGATAGTATGATATATTAGATACAAAGAACCACGCTGTTCAGTTCAAAGTTAAACAAGCTCGAAAACTATTTTGAAAGGAATTTAATTAACAGGGTCGTTTCTTTATCATTCATTGACACTATACTTTTTCCATTTATATGCTTATGATAGCACAATCCAGTTCCATTTTCATCGTTGGTATTAGATTTGTGAGATGTGCCGTTGTTTTTTTATAATACCGCGATGTTGCGAATGCTCATTAAAATAAAACAGTATGATGAATACAAGACAGTATTTATTTTTAAATAAATAACTATTAGTCAGTGCTCTGAAATACAATAACACACGTAGTTCAACACTAACTCACCGTCTTTATCCTTATCGAGTACGTCACGAAGATCCGACGAAGTCTCCTCGTCCACACCAAACGCGTGAACCATTTTGGTAAATTTGATGACGGACAGTCTATCAGTGCGATCATCAATCATTGTATACATAAATGCCCTTAATTACAATAAACAAGACCAGTCAATTATTTTACTGAACTTTTTTATAAGATATAATGTTTGGTGCTAATGCCATGAAATCAGCCCGAATTTGGGTTTCTAGAAGGTAAATTTCTTCTTCTGACTGATCAAAAATTATTGCGATTATTCAAATACGGTAAACGTAAAGACAAAAGAGTTTAAAAGTGTAAATAAATTCCAATGAATTATATTTTTCTTTCATTACAATTCCCTTTTTAATATTTCCTAATAATTTGCAATTTCAATACAAAACGAACATTTTGGTAAATGCGGAAAAAAGTAGTAAATTTTCTGAACATTTCCTAATATGTAACATAAAGTTTGCTTCAAAAGATGCTGTTATGTATCGGGGATCAACCACTTTTGCTACGCGGATACTTTAACATATTCACTGAGGAGCGTGCTTACTTTCATTGCCGTCGAACAAACAATGCTTTCATTAAGCGTATGGTTCCGTCCAAAAAAGCCTTCTCAGAGTAATCCGTGACTTTCGCCAGACAGTAGTAATGAGGTTCCACAAAATTGCATTATAATATTGCATATAAGCAACTACTTTATAATCAGAATAATAATGTTTTATTGAAATATCGTATTATGGCATACTTTACACTTTCCAAGTCTGATATTACGCTTTGGCCAATTGGCACTGAGTCAGGTAAATCTGCTTCATTTTCCGGACAGTCTGTTAGATTGAGCGATCTCGGGGCATCAAACCAGATAGAAAAGGCCATATTCCTCGAATCTCCCGATTTCACGTAGTGCGGTGCGCTTATTGAAAAGATATATTTAGTTATATGCGCACAGTATAGATATTTTGTATAATAAAATTAATATATGACAAACTTTTCTTACTTATTCGGAACAAACAAACAATCTCCTGCTTCAATGAGAGCTTGATACCAAGGCATATCTTGCATTACGGGATATTTGTACATGTCAACACTTCTTGGATCAATTCCAGAATACACTGGCGAATGATCCGACTTTGGGAGTATGTGTCGATCTTTCTGTTAAGGTAAATTCCATACACTTATTCGAATTCGAACTCTACAATAGCCAACGAATTGGTGTATAAGTATATATGCATGACACTGGCTCAGGCACTTTTCTAAGTTGGGTATCTTTCGTACGAATCCCCCGACACTAATGCAAAAATGTGAGATTTGAGGGAGACACCCCACCACGTTTGAAATAACAAATTAGTTGATACACATCTAAGGTTAGGAATGATTTAAAATTTTGAATTTGCGACCAAATGCGACCCACCTGGAAAAATATTGTGGCCCGCGGAGAAGATCAAACTAGTCGTGAAGTAGTCGGGGAAAAAGCCAGCTGCAAATTTCTTACTGAATTCGTCGTTTGAAATGCAATACAAAAGGCGATAAACAATTTAAATCGCTGAAAACTACACTGAAGCCATCGCATTCATGGAGGACAGGAGTTGCATGAAAAATGCGTCTGTTAGTATCAATAGCTGTTACTAGACTGCTGCCTCTACGAATATGATTATCCAGTCAATTTGTCAAACAATAAATTAGTTTTGGTGGCAAATACGTAATTCAATAAGCTCAAAATTTATAATACCTCTCTCACTTATTATACAAGGAACAATATTATTTACCCTGTGAATAATTGTCCAATTCTTCGTACCATCAAGCAAACAATGCATATTTTCTTGCATATCCCAATGTAGTGCTGATTGAGCAGAACCAGATGAAAATAGGAATATCACCTTCGAAATCCGTTCTTGGTATCCACCGCACGACATAGATTTTATAAAAGATAGTTCGTCTAAAAAGAGTACGTATTATATTTTAGTGGAATATATGACAAATACTTGTAGGTGACCGGATAGTAGTTTACTTAGTTTACGAGTACAAAATTTATAACAGAAAGTAGTAAATAATTACCTCTCATTGGGTTCTCGGGCAGAATGTCCCGAATTATACAGAGTTCTCGCTTTTTATAGCTTCTTAGAAAACGTGCAAATTTCATTTCAAATATTTTTCCGTATATTTGAGCCTCAAATTTTCCGAGGTCTGTTGGAGCTATCCATTTACCGTACTTTTCACTGTGGTGTAGAAATTGTTACAACAAATTAAGTTATAATTAAAATGAAATAATAATACCTTATGTTATATAATGCTCATATGATTATTTTATTTAAATTTTCCTGCACCACTGTGATAATCTTTTAAGCTCCGTATGCCTCCGTATGTAGTCGATGATGTCGGCCAAATTTGCGACCACTTGGTTTTAAAATGTAAACCACTACCAATCAGCGCGCTCTGCAACATTTGCTTAAAATCTAATGATTAAACTCCGAAGCAGCTTCGTGCAAAGTTGACTATTAATTTTGCAACACATTATTTCAAATGATTTGAACATTTTAAATGAGCAAAATGTATGATATAACATGAGAAAAACTTTTTTTTTGTGATTTTATGACGACAATATTGCAAATGAAAAGTAAAAAAGGCATTTGAAATTGAAAAGCATAATTTTCGATTCTAATTTCAAGAATTTCTCCCCAAGCCGTGAATTGTAACGACAGCCGTTCGGGATCCAAGCTTGCACACAGAAATATGCGAATTCATAATTATTAAGGGTTGGTCAATAATAATAATATGACAATAGCATTTTCTCTTAGTAAAATAAACATCTTACCTCAAGTAATCATCATCTCTCCAAGTTTTGAAATTGCTTAAAACTTTTGCAGCTCCTTTGATGACGACCGGTTTATTAACTTTAATGTATTTATCAAAAAATTCTTGTGGACTGGGTGGAGTATGGATCACATCTATTTTAATCGGAGGCATATGGGAGCCAAGGGATTGAAGATGTCCCATAGGGTCACCACATTCTACAATGCACGACAGAGAAACAAACCATACTAATGTAACAAATTCTATGCTCATGGTGATATGCTACTATTTTCTGATATTTTTAAGGTTCACTTAAATAAATCTAAATTTAAAATAAGTGTTTTTATTTTTCTCATAAACATATTTTATAAAAAATATAATTTATAAGTACTTATATCTCATCTATTTCACCTAATTTGTTACCTTTGTTAGAAATAACGATTCATTCTACTGATTGCCATGAGTGAGAGTTTCTATTAAATTATCTTCATTGCTTGAACATTCCTTCTAATCTCAATACTTGATTCGTGCATTTTCAAACCATATTTTTACAGCTATCTTACAGCCTTTCTATCCAAGTCTTTAGAAAATGCTGGGGCACAGCGACATGATACGTATTGTAAAGTTCTATTCTATACCGTATTAAGAATTATAAAGTTAGCAAAGTTCGTAATGCCTGGACAATATGCACTTAAATATTTACCCATCTTGCACGCATCACGAACTGCCTTCCGCATTTTGCCTTAACATCGACAGCATATGACTGATGTCCGGATATAACTTATCCTAGACACCGCTGAATCTATTGTTTAAACTCTCTTCTCACGTTACGCAAGATGTTACATAGCACTACTCGGGGCCTCTTCAGGATTTATTGTCTCATTGCATAATTTCTTCCTGGGCCAGAACTTGAGAGAAAAATACATGGAAAGTATATGAAATTTAGTAATATTAAATCTCGATACTGTAGAACTTTTTAAGTGTGCTAATGTTGATATATTTACAGCAAGTTAATTTTGCTCAATATTAGTATCAATTTTCTAAATACCTATTTCAATCGTATTTTTAAAAGCAAAACCGCCAAAAACTTTAGTGCATTCAATTACGCATATATTACTCCCAGGACATGTGTTACAATCTAAAATTGTGCCGACACTACAATGTATGTACAATTCCGCACACCTATGTGCTACTAAAACCACAACACGAAAACAAACTTAGCCAATACATGAGTGTATTCCAAGTCATTCATATAAGGACGTACTCGTAGGGACTTATAGTTAAGGAAATACTTAATTCAAGAGACACGGAAAAATCACGCTGCTGACCGAAACAAAAAAATATTTTTCCTACTGCATTCGAAAATTGATGACGATAACTGAGACAATGATGAGAATGACTAATAATGAGAATGTGAAGCAGGAGTTGAACTGATTAAGCACTGTCTCCCGCCCGTATTTACACAGGCTAGGTGTAATTTATTCACTGCTTTTTTTAAATTGAGGTTTCTTAATGTTTTTTCTATGGATAAGTGCTTGTCGTGACGCTCAACTAAACCCATACCATTATAAAATTGAAAGATAAAAAAATTCAACATTTTTCAATTCAGTTATATATTTAAAAATTGTTACCGCACTTCATCATAGTGTTATTTACAATTGATCAAACATAACTATTAGCACAATTAAATCATTGCAAAAAATTTACATTCATGGTAATTTTCACAAAATCTAAGGTCAAGTTTTTTGAATGTTTTAGTTCTATAGTTCATCTTTTTCTTTTTTACTTTTCCTGAAGTCTTCTACCTCTTTGTATTCATCTGTTTCATTTAAAAGCCCCGACCACATCTCATCGGTGACATCTGTTATAGCTTCGATCTCTTCTTCGGTAATAAAACCTGCACAATATGAAGACGTGTAATTTTATGAAAATATGCTGCCTGAATGTTCAGTATGAAAGGGAATAAAAACTTAAAAAAATTAGGAATCAGCAACGCCACTGCAGTTTGTTTATCACATTTGGAATCTTGCATACTCAATATGCACGACACTCTGAGGATATATGGAGCACAGACGATGTTTGAAAAACAATGTAATTCGCGACTTTCTACATTTCTATACAGTAAAACTTTATCAGGGCATATACGGAAACTTATCAAGGAGTAATATCTAATTGAAATACCACGATAGTATGATATATTAGATACAAATAACCACGCAGTTCAGTTCAAAGTTAAACAAGCTCGAGAACTATTTTGAAAGCATTTAATTAACAAGGCCGTTTCTTTTCATTCATTGACACTATAATTTTTCCATTCATATGCTTATAATAGCACAATTCAGATCAATTTTCATGTATAGCGACATCTAGGCTCGGGTCACATGACCTGTGTCGCGCTGCCACGTTTTGGCTTCTGTTTTGAATAAGAAAGTTACCACACTCAACTCGGGGATCTCTCGCGACACGCACCTACTACTGCCTCATTTTTGAGTTAAGTTATTTTACTGTTTGATATCTATTTTTTGCTTTTATAACGTCGCTATTTTAATACAACATACAACAAAAAACTTGCACATTTTACTAGAGACTTGAAAGCGGACAGGAATAAGGAAGCACAGTCTCGGCACGCGGAGTTTAGGGAACAACAGCATGAACCCTATACATGGTTGGTAATAGATTTGTGAGATGTGACGTTATTTTTTATAATGCCGCGATGTTCCGAATGCTCATAAAATTAAAACAGTATGATGAATACAAGACAGTATTTAATTTTAAATAAATAACCATTAGTCAGTGCCTCGAAATACGATATCACATTTAGGTAACATTAACTCACCGTCTTTATCCTTATCGAGTACGTCACGAAGATCCGACGAAGTCTCCTCGTCCGCACCAAACGCGTGAACCATTTTGGTAAACTTGATGACGGACAGTCTATCAGTACGATCATCAATCATTGTATACAAAAATGCCCTTAATTACAATAAACAAGACCAGTCAATTATTTCACTGAACTTTGGTATAAGATATAAAGTTTGGTGCTTATGCAATGAAATCAGCCCGAATTTAGGTTTCTAGAAGGTAATTTTCTTCTTCTGAGTGATCAACAAATTATTGCGATTATTCAAATACGGTAAGAGTAAAGACAAAAGAGTTTAAAAGTATAAATAACTTCCAATGAATTATCTTTTTCTCTCATTACAATTTCCTTTTAATACTTCCGAATATATTGCAATTTCAATAAAAAACGAACATTTTGGTAAATGCGGAAATAAGTAGTAAATTTTCTGAAAATTTTCGAATATATTTATCATAAAGTTTGCTTCAAAAGATACTGTTATATATTGGGGATAAACCAATTTTGCTACGCAGTTACTTTATCATTCACTGAGGAGTGTGCTTATACTTTCATTGTCGTCGAACAAACAATGCTTTCATTAAGCGTATGGTTACGTCTAATGAGGTTTCTCAAAGTGATCCGTGACTTTCGCCAGACAGTAGTTAGGTTAATGAGGTTCCACAAAATTGCAATATAATATTGCACATAAGCAACTACCATATAATCATAATGATAATGTTTTATTGAAATATCGTATTATTGCATACTTTACACTTTCCAAGTCTGATATTACGCTTTGGCCAATTGGCACAGAGTCAGGTAAATCTGCTTCATTTTCCGGACAGTCTGTTAGATTGAGCGATCTCGGGGCATCGAACCAGATAGAAAAGGCCATATTCCTCGAATCTCCTGATTTCACGTAGTGCGGTGCGCTAATTAAAAATATATATTTAGTTATATGCGCACGGTATAGATATTTTGTATATCAAAATTACTAAATGAAAAACTTTACTCACTTATTTGGAACAAACAAACAATCTCCAGCTTCAACGGAAGCTTGATACCAAGGCATATCTTGCATTACGGGATATTTGTACATGTCAACACTTCTTGGATCAATTCCAGAATATACGGGCGAATAATCAGTTTCCGGGAGTATGTGTCGATCTTTCTGTTATAATAAATTCAATAAACTTATTCAAATGTGAACACAATATAGTTTGCGACATCGAATCATTGATGGATATTATATATAGTTTGTTGAAATCAGGGATGGCATTTCCGAATACTGAACTATTCCGAATACATTCTAAAATAATATTTTCGAATCTGGCATTCCGAATACTTTCTAAAATCAGACATACAAATTTTTGTTTTAGTAAATTAATATCCAGTAAAATAGGAAATAAGCTCCAATAGAAATATCAGAATAAAGCCACAAACCAACAGTATATGTACACAAATTATTTTATAGTTTATAACTTTCATTAGAAATATTAGCAACTTGTGACAAAGTAAATTAATTGAAATTGTATACTTTGTATAATTGGCCGAATGAAAGGATAGCCAAAGAGTTCTTTGATGATTTGTGTTCTTGGAACCATGATATTACCATAATAATTTATTGGCAAAAGTACTTTTTGTATTTAAATAATTTTGTATATTTTGCGAGAGTAATAAAATTCATTGGCATTAAAGGCAACTGAATCAAGCGACAACGATCCAATATCCATTAGGCCTCTGTACAAATTCTAATATTTAAGCCTACAGTATATTTATATATATTAATTTATGTGTACCGTATTGTTATTATGAGTAGCGCAGAACTTAAATCTACCAATGCGTAATTGTGTTTATGTACAGTAAAAAGAACGCAGTTAATGAAATGCTGAAAGAGAATGAAATAATATAGTTTGACCTGGTTTGTTGTTGCGTGCGCCTGAGAAAGCACGCGTTGAGCGACGATAAAATAAGACGGGAAAAGAATAGATTTTTGCAAAACGAGAGAACGTGTATGACCTAGATTTTTGTGGCGAGAGCGTGGCGTAAGCGCGCATGTGCTGAGTGTGTGTGCGATGCGTAAGTTTCTATCGAGAAAGTTACCATTTAATATAGACGCTTTGAGAGCCGTGTCGCAGATGTGTGACGTCACACAAAATCCGATATTTTTTAAACGTTAATTCCGATATTCGAATGACGAGATATTCGAATACATTCGAATACTTTATTCGAATTGGTCATCCCTGGTTGAAATTATACTCATTCGTTATAAAATGTTGCTTTGGAAAAACAGCCAAATTCTTTTAGAACAGACCAATCTAGTTTCTACTGACTTATTACTACCGGTATTATAATATAGTTTAACACATTTAAAACGCTCGAATACTACACTGAAGCGGCACGTAAGAACCATCATTTACGGAGGACAAAAGTGGCATGAAAATACGTGTTGTTAGCATAAGTAGCTTGTCGCTGTCGATGCGTGATCAAACAATGTAAAACCAGTTCACCCAGTCAATTTCCAAACACCAAAAAAATTTTTGGTGGCAAATTCGAAATTCAATAAACTCCTAATTTATACTATTTGTTTCGCCTATTTACCTATTATACAAAGAACAATAATATCTACCCTGTGAATAATTGTCCAATTCTTCGTACCATCAAGCATACAGTGCATATTTTCTTGCATATCCCAATGTAGTGCCGATTGAGCAGATCCAGAGGAAAATAGAAATATCACCTTCGAAATCCGTTCTTGAAATCCACCACACGACATAGATTTTATAAAAGATAGTTCGTCTAAGAAGAGTAAGTATTTTATTAGAATATATTACATATATTTGTAAGTGACCAGCAGGTGTTTTTCTCGAAAAAAATTTGATCAATATATGAGTACAAAAATTTATTACCGAACGTAGTGATATAATTACCTCTCATTGGGTTTTTGGGCACAATGTCTCGAATTATGCAGAGTTCTCGCTTTTTATAGCTTCTCAGAAAACGTGCAAATTTCATCTCTACAATTTCTCCGTATATTTGAGCTTCAAATTTTCCGATTTCTGTTGGAGCTATCCATTTACCGTACTTTTCTCTGTGGTGTAGAAATTGTTTAAACAAATTAAGTTATTTGAAATGAATTAATAACTGTATATGTGAAATTATTCGTTATAAAGTAAATTGTGTACATTTTCCTACACTAGTGAACAAACAATGTTGCATTGTTGTATTTAGACATAAAAATAAATGCCCTAAATTAATAATATAAAGAGCGTTGCATGTATACATAATTCCTTAGAGTTAGAGCAACACGAAAAAAAATTCTAAGCATCAATGACAAGCACCCAGACGAATTCGTACATGTTTATTTTTTTTTCCGTTCTTTGTTTTACTTTCGAATTACTAATTAAGCAATTCATAATATTTTAGCATGAAACCTAGACTGACCATGTTTAGACTGAAAACTAAAAAAACTTTCAAATTTATCCGTATTTAGAAGCAATCTTACTATTTCTCTTCACGCTTTTTCTACCACATTTTATGTCTGAAGTCTGTCTACGTATTGCCAAAAGACCTAATGTTCCGTTATTATATTGCGAATCTCGGTTTTTTTCTTTGCGATTTTTATATGTCATGTGTTATCGAATCTTCTGAGGATTCCCCATTTTTTTTGACGTTTCGTCGGACTAATGTTTATCGTCCACGTGAATGTAATGGTTCATATTTGATTTCAATCGGAAATTTTTTGTTCGAACTCTTTTTTGTCAAAATATTGAAGTGTTCTACTGCAACAAAGGTTATTTTTTTATCTGTATCATTGATTCCTGTATTTTGTTACCGGTCTGGGGGGTCGTTTTATTTGAGGTTACCTATCGGCCAATGTAAAAAGGTTGGGAACTATAATACAACAACGCCGCACCCAGGTTTCAAACACGTACACACGATATCTATGCGCATTGTTCGCATTAAGATAGTTGAATAGAAAACACTTTTTTTTAATTCAACTTTTCTTGTTGTGGTGTCGCGAATATCTGTGGTTTTCGATTTTATAAAAATGGGGCCGCGAAAAAAAGTTTAGGAACCACTGTCCTATACCACTGTAAAAAAAGATGCCTGTGTTGTTGATGTTGATGATGTTGACTAATGTCGTTGTGCCTACCGCAACGGATGCATTAAATCTAAAGCTCAAGCGTCCAAGTAACTTTGTGCTACGTTGACTAGTAATCTTTGTGCGGTTAATAACATTTCATTGCAACATTTTAAATGAGCAAAATCAATGACAAAAACATTTGTAAAAGATAGATTTTTGTGAATTACTGGCGGCAATATAGAAAATGATAATTAATTAAAAAATACATTTGAAATTGGAAGGCATAATTTTGAAATTTAGTTTGGATACTTTCCAAAACCTAGAATTAAAATACCCACTCAATTAATAGACAAATTTGTGTCTGGCAGCTGTTCGGAATAAAGGTATGCATACAAGCATGTGTCAATGCAAATCCATATTTATTAACGTAGGTCAATAATAATTCAAGAGCCTTGCTGCACACTTACACAAATATATTTCTAGTTGTAAAATGCTTGATCAGACGAAAAGTTACAGAAATGTATTTGTGTACGTGTGCAGCAAGACTCTTGAATTAAATAGAATAGTCATTTTCACTCTTGCTATTGCATCCTTGCGTTATACGCATAAGTATCCACCTGCGCAAAGGCATAGATCAAGGAAAGGTAGTTAGTTTCACGTAACCCCTGTTAGTTATTAGGTATTATTATTACTTATCGATCTTATGATCGGTAAGTATGTTGATAGGTATTTGTCTGTCTGTTTGTCTGTGTGTTAGATGCACGCGATATCTCACGAAAGCGAGGTTGAATCTGCTCCAAATTTTGCATGTGCATTCATCATAGCTCGGATCAGAATGATTTTGGATGGATTATGTCTTATAATTAGCGAGTTATTATTTAAATAGTGATGGGACACACGGTGTCACTATGGAGTAAGACCACTGTTTTGGGGGATGCCCTAACCTTCGATCGATAAGTCTTCGGTTTCTAAGCGATATTCTAGTTATTATTAGTTATTATTATTGACCTAACTGTTAGTTAGGTCAATAATAATATGACAATATCATTTTCTCTCGGTAAAATGAACATCTTACCTCAAGTAATCATCGTCTCTCCAAGTATTGAAATTGCTAAAAACTTTTGCCGCTCCTCTGATGACGATTGGTTTATTGACTTTAATGTATTTATCAAAAAATTCTTGTGGATTGGGTGGAGTATCGATCACATCGATTTTAATAGGAGGCATATGGGAGCCGAGAGGTTGTAGATGTCCTGGAGGGTCATCAGACTTGGCTACACAAAATACTGAAGCAAGACATAACAAAAATGCAAAATCCATCTTCATTGCAATTGTTAACTTTATATTCTGTGGTATGTATTTTAAAACAAAATTGAAATATATCTAAGTATAAAATGAGGTTTTATTTCAACCCCAGACGAGATAATGGGTTTATTTTACGTGAGCGTCCGTGGAAATTCCTTTCAATATCTTGAAGGTTTCAGATAAGCATATGTCGTCTGCTTTTTATATTCTGAACACGTAAGTAAACATTCCGACGATGCAAATCAATGTCTGTCTGAAACTGATCTATTCGTTTAATTCTATAGTAATGTCAATATCTTTCTGCGTCGTTGAAGACTTTTTAACTTTCTGATATCAAACCCTATAAAGTACTTATGATTTGATGCAACTTCGTTGCGATAAAAGCTGCGTACGTTGACTTTGGTTGGCTTTGAATGCGTTGACTACATTGTTCACTAATTGATATGATGACGTCTTTAACCATATGGTGCAAAGAAACCTTGATTGTTCTGTCAGTTATCATTCAGCCAATTTTTGCACGGAAGGAAGCAAATTGTATGAAAAGGAATGCAAATTTCACTCAATAAGTCGTCCAAGTAAATTTTATCGCTTACACGAAATTTTCCCTGTATATTCTTAAACGTTTTTATTGTTCACCACAATACAAATTATGAGTGGACATAATTGTGAATGTTGTATGTGCCTAAATAACATTTTCGCTTTCGTGTTATCTCCATGTATCATCGATTACCATTCGTGATTTGACTCATATATATATGTGTGTGTGTGATTTCACTTTGATAAAATAAAACAATCGGTTGCTGCCTATTTATATCCCACTAATTCACGGTTCCGTAATTTAAAATCATTATTGGACACGTAGTGGACATAACGATCGTTTCAATATTATGTTGTTGTTGTTGTTGTTGTTCTTGTTCTTGTTGTTCTTGTTCTTGTTCTTTGACACGTTTTTAAAAAGTCGCTTTTCTCTTCGAATACTGGACCAATTGCTTTGAAATTTTCAGTGGTTAAAGATTAATTTTTTCGCTAGAAGGCTATTACTTTTGTTTATTCTTAAATTTTATATGAATCCTATGATATATGATATTTCATACAAAATTTCGCGGTATTTATTTTTACTCATGGGAACACTGTTTTACACTTATTTCAAGCGGTTTCGCGATCGATTGTCTTGCTCAGTACTACAGCTACTGTAGGTCGGTACTGGTAAGTTGCCATACAGGTACCGTAACGCAGTGAAATTGACTTATTCCTTCCGCGGTATTACTAATGCTGCAATGCAAGTTTTATAGCCTATCGTATGCGGAACGGAATATCAGACCTACAGGTTCGGTACCGGTACTGGTAGCTCAGTACGTAAGTACGATACTGGTACTGGTGCCGGTACCGGTGTCTTACCACAATGAAATTACCGTAACTTATTCTTTCACGGTCCTACCAGTGCAGTAATGCAAGCGTTGTAGCACTTGTAGCCTACTATATTTGTTTATTTTGATGAGAGTCTACTGGAAACAACATAAAATTTGAAAGGGAAGAATTGTTCTGTGATCAATTATCTGTCCTAAAGTGTAAACAACATAAAATTTGCAAGGGAACAACTGTTCTGTGATCAATTACCGTATATGGCCTACAGTGTACAGGTAAGATGCTGGCTGACTGCTAACCGGTACTGGTAGCTCAGTACGTAAGTACGATACTGGTACTGGTGCCGGTACCGGTGTCTTACCACAATGAAATTACCGTAACTTATTCTTTCACGGTCCTACCAGTGCAGTAATGCAAGCGTTGTAGCACTTGTAGCCTACTATATTTGTTTATTTTGATGAGAGTCTACTGGAAACAACATAAAATTTGAAAGGGAAGAATTGTTCTGTGATCAATTATCTGTCCTAAAATGTAAACAACATAAAATTTGCAAGGGAACAACTGTTCTGTGATCAATTACCGTATATGGCCTACAGTGTACAGGTAAGATGCTGCCTGACTGCTAACTCAGTACCGCTTGACACGTTTTTAAAAGTCGCTTTTCTCTTCGAATACTGGACCAATTGCTTTGAAATTTTTAGTGGTTAAAGATAAAAATTTTCTCCAGAAGGCTATTACTTTTTTTTTCGCTATGACGTCATCAAAATTATGTGACTCTACGTGTCCATATATTTGAGCATAGCTCTCTTGTTAATCGTGTGTTCACACAGATAAACCAAAAATTATCAAACACTCAAATTTCAGTCATATAGCGCTTCAACGTTTCTCTTCAAAAATCCTATGATTGAAATTATTAAATTCAGCATAATTAATAAATTCTAGACTGCTGAACCATCTGGGTACTGATATCACTAGAAACTAAGCTAGTATATATATATATCTGTTTCAACGTATGTTCCTGTGTCTGATTATTCATGTATGTTTTGTCGATTGCACGAATAGGATTTCCTATTTATTTCTGGAAAGAGAATTAACAAAATATGGCAGCATAAATTACGTGCATTCAATTTCATGGAAAATTGTATAATTTTAGATATATATCAAGCATCCCAATTCTGGCGTGATGATAATTCTGGCACTATTTAATAATTACTCACATTCTACAAACATCCGCGTGGTATAAATTTACGACAATAAGAACGGATATAACGCTTCCCCAGACGAAAGCAATACTGCCTTTAACGCATAACCCTATGTGTTTATTTTATATGGTGCATTTTCATGCCTTTCACTTTGAACAACCCGTTGTACAAGCATCCAAATTGGGTTTTGTTACTATAGCTGAAAAATATCAAAATCTTTTCGTAACTCATCATATTATTGCACTTCGCAAGGGACATATTGTGAATCTCGTGGCATATTGGTGAATACGGGTGAAGTAAAAGTAATCCTTGTAACTAAACTTTTTCTTTGCTGCTAAACCTGAACTAAGAATGCCATATTTTGAATGGAAGTGAATATAACTATTTATAATTAAATTTTGTTTCCATTTATATAACATAAGAATAGTAGCACGCCAAGAATGGAGCCTTGTGGAAGTACGCATTTGATGTATGTAGACTATTTCATATATCGCCCATTTTAAACTTGGCGTCCATGAACTTAAAGGTTTTCGAGTCGTATTGTTTTTATTTTACTCACTATTATCCATCGTGACTTTTAAAAGGAAACCTGTGGCTAGCTCAAGAGAATAATAATAATTACCATAAGCTACACCGGGGTTATAAGCAGTGGTGGGATTCAAATTTTGTCAGCCGGTTCCCTCACAAAAGTCTTATTTTTCAGCCGGTTCTGTTACAAACAGAACATTGACAGTAACCAGTAATGTTAACCGGTTCGCTGATCTCATGAAATTCCGCGAAACGGTTCTATAGAACCGATGCAAACCGGCTGAACCCCACCACTGGTTATAAGGCGCATCGTCAATAAATTGCTTAGATTGGGATTTTTCATACATAAGGCGCATAAGCTACATAAGTCTGTATGACGCAACGTTTTTTAAAGAGTATCGGTCATCAAACAAAAAAACTAATATTTTTCATGATTATTTTATTCAATGAAAACGTAAAACGGCGGTTTGTTTATGAAACAATAGCTACTTTGCAACGCAGCGGGCGGGGAATAAACGCAACAGAACGCGTTTCTTATTCGTGAACTCGCTCCGTGCCTCAATTATTGCACATAATTGGGTATAAATTGTTGTGACTCATCACTATTTTTCGGTAACCATACAAAGTCACAAACTAGTTCAAAAACATGCTATCATTTCAACGATGAAAATTGATATTAAAACTGGTTTAAATTAATCTAACGATGAGTAATCTATTATAGTACAGTATACCGATAAGCAGCTACCTGCAACAATGCTTTATCGTCTGTTGAACGGCTTCTAATGTGAGGGGCATATCGGGCTGCCATATTGAACAGCAAGTTTGATTTTTAGGGCAGATGCAATTGCAATTCCATTCATTTGGAACTACGAAAAATCTTGCCATATCATTATAAACATTTTTTTTCGGTAATTCATGTGCATTCGAATTCGTTATTTTGTACAAGACACTTATAAAATCAAGTACCAGAAATTACATCAGTCCTGATATGAATGCTCCATGTTCAGAGCTTAAAACTATATCTTACCAAATCTGTATTATGAGACTCGCGAGGAAGATGCACGACAAGTTTTTTGTTAATTGGAAATTAAATAACTATGGTCCGCAATCTTCTTCTCGTGATAAAAATAAAATATTTGACCTATTCATTGAAAAGGTTCATCATCCCTGATCCAGGTTTTCGTTTGGGGTATTATTCTTTTGACAGCGACCAATCTTGTGCAGACCTTCCAATAAAAATGAACACTAAAATAGCAAGTGGCAAATTGTAGAAGAGTTGATAATCTAATAATGAAAAATGATGAATTCAAAACGTTGTTGATATCTCCAGACCCCTCAACAAGTGCTAGGATTCAATGTTTTCCGTTCTCGTAATACTATTACACAAATATGTTCTATTTTTTTATTGTTTTAGATTAATGCTTTCATTATGAAAGTAAATATCCTAATTTTATATGAAGATTTGTGACCTAACCCAAAGACTTTACTTCAGCAATAGTAAGTCCCTATCAAAACAACGAGAGTTTTGAAACCGCAAATTGAGTTTATCGTGGAAAACCGATCAAAGCTGAGGATAACACGAACAGTCAAAGTCAGATGTAACGAATATTTGATAACGGATTCCATTAAAAAGACTGTTGACACAGTACAAGTTCACAAAGCACATGGATTTCGATTAACACTGAAGTGGGAATGCCAGGGCATGGAATACACGTGTTATATTTTGCTTTTAATATTGTTGTTTATCTTCCAGTCGACTATCAGTTATGTGCGTTCAGAATAACATTAATTATCACATATTGAATGGGATGACAAGCAGATATATGTACACACCCTGACTTCATTCAGCAAGTATTTGGGGGGGGGGGGGGTCTTGCCTTCCGGGTTTGGACGCACTGAACCTGACAGCCGCTGAATTTCTCATGCACAAAACCAGACCCAGTAACGAAACGCACTTGCTTTATTTCGTCCACTCAACTGTATAAGCACTATTGTGGCCACTGGTGTGAGGTAAAGTGATTTAAAATAGTTTGGACTACAATGCTTCCAAACCCTAATTGATTAGATACACAGATGTAACTAAATGCACAATAAAAGAGTTTGAAGTATGAACCTAATGACTAATCCCTATCCTAACACATCTCTGCATAAAATACAATCCTAATTTTCCTATAAGTTAACATTAAAGCTACAGCATAAAAAATCACGCTCCTTCACCAAACACTGATGAACCAAGAGACTGTCGCAATAACAGGTTGCCACAATATGCGCAAAGTGACAATTAAGATAGGGCACTAGACTGCAATAACAAATTATTATCTCAATAGAATAAGAGTCATCAAAGTGGATCATTAGCCTATACCTAACACAATTCTAAATAGGTGAGATAATATGCAAACGCCAATGTGAAGTGACATTTACATCGAAATATGTACATAGGAATGGCAATATGTGGCAACACTTTAAACCATGCTTTTTTATACAGAAAAAAGGATAATTGACTTTATGTCGTCACCT